TGATTGTGACATTGTGTTATTAATAATAACAGCAGCAGGAATGATAGCATCAGCAACTAGAATGGCACTCAGTAGAGCGCATAACTGAAAGCCAAAGCCAAACAGTCCCCGTATAAAATCAGATTTAAATTCACTAGATCCAGATTTTTATTAGGATCTGCACCACATTACACACACTCGTATCACACCACTTAACATACCTGATTTTCTTCATCAAGATCCATAAAATATTCTCTGACAAATCTGTGAAAATGTTGAAAAAAACCCATATCACGATGTCAAAGAAAGTGAAAAAGAAATTCCTGAATCTGCCTCTTGATCTGGATCCAAACTAAAGTGTCTTCCCTGACCCATACCGCATCCTTCAGCCAAGTTTTTTAGTGAAACTACAGTAGTTTCTTGTGTATTCCTGACAGACAAACACACACATGCAGATGGAAACATAACCTCCTTGGAGGAGAGTAAAGAATAATAAACAAGAATGATAAAAACATATTGATTAGTAATTATGTGTGGTCATTTGTGGCCACATTACTAGTATTAGTATTTTGTTGTAGTTCTGTGTAATGGGTGATAAATAGAATCTATTTTTAAAAAATGCTTTTTGGGTGTTGCTAAACTTTACAAGCTCTGTATTGTTCTTTCATCCTGCCTGGGTCTTAATCTCTTTTTGAGTTCATTTTAGGATTCATATTTTTAGTAAATAGTGTTTACATGGTGCATAAACTGCAAATAGCTCATTGTCTGCGGCAGGAAGCACTGAGTCTGTAGGTGAAAAACCAATATGTGTGATTGCTGTAAAGTGACATAAAGCGTGTAATTTCCAATTTTAACATTGGCTGCGATCCTTACGTACAGAGGGCCAATAGGAGCCCAACATTTAGTTCTTTCCACTGCAGGGACACCACAGTGGTGTCCCTTAGTCCTGCTTTATATCCATACCAGTGCTGTATATTTATCATCTATATACATACTGCCTCTGTTGAATAACATATAGGCAGATAAAACCATCATGCATAAGACATGAGGCCTTCTTTATCATGCTTCAGTTAGATTGTACTTCAGGATCATCTGAGAGGATATGCAGTGTTTGTCTTAAGGAAAATAAACCACAGAGTACATTAAAGGCCAGTGATCACATGAACATGACACAGATGAAGCAGGCTTTATGGATTTATATGGAGACTGAGGAGGAGGTTCAACTTCAAACGTGCTATATGTAGCCTGTGTAACATCAAAGCACCATCGTCAAATAACCATGAAACCATGGTTTATAATTAGAAGTCCATAATGAAATGACAGTCAAGACGATTACTCCCTCCTCTAATTCTTGAAGAATCGTTAGAACAGGAAGTTAGTAAAGAAAGACACATCTCTTCTGACTCATATTAATCATGTAAGAAAACAGGGGATTACAACACACAATTCTGTTTTAATAATTAAAAAAATTGAGTAGGAGGCTTAAATGTGGAGACTCCAGATTAAGTTGTCATTACTGTGTGTTAACATCAGTGATCGGCCATCCCGCTGCCTCTACCCCAGTATAGAGGTGGATTTGTTAGCAAGTATTGAACACTGCTTAAAAATTAAATTAAATTCCAGCAGCAACATTTGTGTCCAGAAGTAATGACCTGGTTACTGTGGACAACCCACAAACCTCAATCCAACCACATAATACAGAGGGAATAGTACCAGATAAAAACAAAAAATAAAGAAATAGAGGCATGCTCTCTTATCTCTAATGAGCCTGAAGCTTTTTGGGCATTTTAAGCATGAAATTTGCATACGCAGCTCTAACTGGGCAGTTTTTCTTTTTTCTCAAGTTGCCACAATACTGGAGCAATACAAAGCAGTTCAATTCCCTGGTGATGAAAGTCCTGGGAGCTCATTAGAGCAGCTAGGCTGAACATTTTTATATTAACAATGGATCAAATGGTTATGTGTTCCACAACTTTACTGTTGAGGTTCAGTCTCACCGATCCAGTCACAGCAGGCAGCCGAAACTGTATATAATGGCTCCATAACTATGCATTAATATATTAATGGGGCAAAAAAATTCCCTTGTTTTCTGAAGAAGAGCACTGTTTTAAAATAGGCCCCTCCCCTGAGTTAATGGGAGGTGCAGAAGAAAAAGGACAGGGTCCATGCAAGTGACCTGAAGACAGCAGCGAGATAGTTATTATAGTTTGGAGCCAAAAGTCGACTACCTGCTTTTCGAAATAATTGCATTAGCCAAAATGTCATTTGGACCTAAAACAACTAAAATAATGTGTTGCTGATTGTGTTTTGCGTGGAGAGATGTTTAGCTTGTGTAATAATAGAAACTGTTGGACTATAAACATCGTACAGAGGCTAATTCATCGAGAGACAATCACCAATGGACTTCAAGATTATCAACACACAGCGGTTGTTGTTGCAACAGCACTGGCTGTGACACACATCACACAGAGCCCTTAAGTTTTACCTTTGCTCCTGATATTTTACTTTTTCTTAAGAGTCATAATTCAGTCACAGTCAGAATCCATAGACGTGATTCCTATCTGTGTAGCCTGATAGGGATTTACACTCTTCTGTGATACTTGTCTATTGTGACAAAATGTCTATAGCAGCTTAGAAATCTAAGACAAAACTCCATATATCGACTTCTGTCTGCTTCAAAATAATGAACGCAGCTTGTTCTCTTTTTAAATCACCTAATGGGGCTGTCACAGTGTCCACAGAGTCTCCTCTTCACTGTCACTGCACCGAAGGCAAACTTTGCCTCTTGATTACATCACAGATTAAAGTCTTGGCACTAAGTAAATGGTCATGTTTACAATCCAGGATCAGCTGTGCAAGATAAACCAGCCTCTGCCTCTGAAGGCTGGTGTGGTCACATTATCACAGCGGTGGAGGGAGATACGCGTTATATAAGTAAATGTATGAAAAAATACACAGAAATGATCAAATTAACCTTTCTACTTGAGTAAAAGTAAGCATGTTCTAAGTAGCAGTATGTGTGTTAATGTACTTTGTCGCATCACACCACTGAATTATCATCCATTTAAATGTGTTAATAACAATTGGCTGATAAATCATCTTCATTCAGTCGGATATTTGTTAAAAAGGATAAATGTGTCAGTGGTGTGAAAAATACTCTCACTTCCACAAACCCAAGATAAATCAGAAGGAATATTTTCATTGACAAGTCATTTGAAATAAAACTGTGTAAAGATATGTGAACCCATGATTCCACTTTTAAATCAAAATGGAAATCCTGAAATCGACATCCCTACAGAGCCAGAAGAACTAAGTAAGTTCTCCCCACAAAAGAGCAAAGTGACCTCCATTCATCCATCTATTAGCTGACAGGGGGGCCGGAGCCAATCCCAGCTGACATTGGGTAAGAGACTGGGGACACCCTGGACAGGTCACCAGTCTATCACAGGGCCGACACACAGAGACAAACAACCATTTACTCACACTCTCACGATTTAGAGTCTCTGGACAGTGGGAGGAAAGTGGAGCGAGGCGCCCGGGCAGGTACAGGCAGGACATGCACACACGTCCAGCAGGTTCAAACCATGGAGCCTCTGGCTCTGAGGCAACAGTACCAACCACGGGTGTCACATTTCCATCTATTACCTGTTTATGTCAAACCTTGACACTTATTTATAAAATACAATCTACTTAAATCAGAGGCATCATTTTAAATTGTTCATTTTTATTGGCTTAATGTCCATCAAAATGGAGGTTTGGTCTGAAAGGATAAGAGGGAAAACAAGCGGGATGAACTGTATGTAGATAAATGGTGCTGGCTAACTACCACAGTGAATCTTTCTGGTTGTGGCATGTGTGTTGGGATGTTTCTTAAAAAAACAACAATAATCTTGTTTCTGGTTCGCTGACTTTAATTAAAACATTCTTAAACCAATCAAAAATAGAGGGTTTGGCTTGGTGAATGACGTAGTTCTGACGAGAACCTGAAGGCCAAGGTAAAGAGAAAAGATCCTGGTGGCACGCAATGAATATACGGTACTAGATTTGCACACATGTAAATAAATAAATATATATAATATATATTTGCATGTGTGTTTCCATATCTGCAACTTGTGTCCAGAATACAGCTTTACCTGTTTTAGGCGTGTCCATATTTGAAAAGAAATGAATATGTGCCTAGTTTTTAAAATGTTCTGAACACATTTTCACAACAAAAAGATAATAAATTGCGTGTGTGATGATAGTTCATGTTTCAGGAGGCTGTTTTTTTAGGTTAATAGGTTATTTAAAATGCAATTTTAACACACCAGCCCAAAGCCTGGGAACTAACAGTGTCAAGTCAGTGCAGTTAAAAAGTCACGCATCCATCAAAACCCTGTAAAGTGAGGACATGGGTATATTGCTCCATCAGAAGTGCTGCTGGCTCGGACGCATCTCCCCGCACAGCGCGCACAGACAGCGCCGTGATAGGAGCTTGACCTACACCGCTGCATCCGCTCCTCACACCGAGCAGAGCCGTGCGCTCACCGGTGCGCACAGCTGCTTTATTTAATATTAACTCCGGCTGACTTGTCTCTGGAGCCCGACACACTCCACGGTGAGGTAAAGGACACATGCGAGGTGGGGAATCTAGAAAATACGTCCGTGGAGCAAAAGGAGCGTAAAGATAATCCGTAATGTTCATTCGCATTGAAAGAGCCCACCCATGTCATCCGTGCGTCAGAAGCCTGCGCATCCAGTCCTGGAGGCTACAACAGTGGCTGTCTTGGGTCACACACACACACACTGTCCCCACACACACAGAGAGATGTTGAGGTGGACTAACTATGGACTAAAACATCAGGACTATATTAACTCTCATTTTGTCATTATCTCTCTCCACCTGTGCGTCCTGACAAGCATTCTTCGTGGATTTGTGCTTTTTAACTCTCACCAGCCCTCCTAGATTTTTTAAAGCTAAAAGATCATGTATCCATGTTAATTCCAAGGCACCTGCCCCAAAACGACGCCCATAAACTCACCTGATATGCAGACAATGAAATTGGCTTGAAGAATGAGCAGTATTTCCCAGATTATATCCATCCTCTATTTTCATTCCACGTACATTACGCACAAATTAGAAAAAAATGGTGGAAGGAAAAAAAGAAACGAAACGGAGCTTTATCAGTTACAGATGTCCTGTCCTCCCAGGCTGGATCCCGCTGAACACCTTCCACCAGGTATTTTCCACACCAGACACATAGCAGGTGCTCAGGGCCTGAGGAATAAATCTTCCACGTTCCCACCAGTGTGCGTAACTATTCCAGAGATGGTTAAAGAAAACTCCGGGCAAAAAGAAAGCGAGCAACAACACCGATCCTGCTGTCAGTTCACTGCGTTATTCCTGCGCGCCCTAGAATCCATCCAGTCAGTCGCCGTGTTCACAGAGCGGACATCCCGTCCTCAGCACTGAGAGTCACACATGGCGGTGTGAGTGAGATCTGTGTGTGTGGAGAGAGAGGGGGAGAGAGAGAGAGAGAGGGAGAGGGAGCGTGGGTTAACGAGGTGGGACAGCAGCTGGATGAGACTGACACCTGGAGACGCCTCACAACTCAGAAAACTCGCATCGCCAGGTGGCGAACCTCCGATCGACACTTCTCCCCTTCACTGCAGGGAACCAGCGTCAAGTGAAACGGGATACAACCAACGCTTCCCGGTGTGAACTGTCACAATAAGAGCTTCGGTGCTTTACTGGCCGGGAGGGGGTGGGAATAAAACATACTCATTACAAATTACATTTGAGATTTTACGTTTTCAAATGCAATTTTTGCATATTCGTTTTTAATTGTGTGCAAATTATGTGACCTAGGGACGAAAGCAGATGGATGAAGGAGGTTTAAAGATACTCAAAGTGTCAAACAACTACATCCAGCTAATAATGGCATTAAAGTGGGTCTAAATGATCCACCCAGTATTACACTCAGTTTATCCATGATAATGGTATGCCACTTGCTCACTCGACACATGATTACAATTTACTATATTATAATATAAACCGTCTTAAGGAATATAATTTCGCTGTGAACACTTATGCATTTGGCGTTTATTCGTTAATAGTTATTTTATTATTGGGGCTTTTATTTTCTGCACTGTTTCCGGTCACGCTCTGGCTCGCTGCTGTGCGCTTTTACGCAGGCTTGCCTCTCTCTCTCTCCATCCCACACACCCTAGGTACAACTAAAAACATCCTTTCTTCCAAAATCGCGGAGTTTCCTTACAAACACAGGACTGGCTGTGGAGAGTGTGTCAACCAGTGGAAGTCAAAACACACACACAGCGACTGAAGACAAATCCCCTGCAAATATGAGATGGCTCGAAAAGTCCGAGCCGCGCAGCTTTGACGCACCATGAAATCATGTGTTCTAGAACGAGGCTGTGCTGAGAACTAAAAGTAGAGGGTAGAGGAAGATATAAGCGGTCTGATACTAATCTGGATGTCCCAAAACTAATGAAAGGTGAGTAAGAATCAGTATTAGGGATCTATTGGGATCATGAGGAACTGAACTCGCTATACCGACGTGAGGCGCGGTGCCTGACTCCCAGATGCGCAGTGATTCTATCCTGCCAGTGGACGTCCTGCTCCGGCGTGGCACCAGGCACCGAGCGATGCCACCCTGCTCTGCGGCTCCACACGCGCACACACACGATCAGGATTCACCAGGAGCGACGCGCGCCACCGCGAGCGCACGCACTGTCAGCGCGCACAGGTGGATGTAAAAAAAAAAAAAACGGCGCACCGACGGCAGGGAGGGAATGGTGCAAGATTAGAGTTGGAAAAATGGTTTGCGTTAAACAGAGCGGCGGCACCGAGAAAACGAGATGAAGTGTAATTCAGTTTGAGCCTCGGAGGAGAGACAGGAGATATAGTGGCGTCAGGAAAATGACTCCTGAGTGGAGAGAATCATTGAGCGAGCAGCTGGAATCATACCCCTGCCTAAAGATGTGTGTGTGTGTGTGTGTGTGTGTGTGTGTGTGTGTGTGTGTGTGRGTGCTTGATACACACACAGGGAGAAAGAGAGACGGCACACTCAAACAAGCTTATCATAATGACTGGTCTACCAATCACCTACTCTGTGTGTGTGTGTGTGTGTGTGTGTGTGTGTGTGTGTGTGTGTCTTTGTGAGGACCAGTTTTAGCCTTTAACCTATGGAGTGAGGACATTTTGGGCTGTCCACACTTTGTGACCCCCCCCCCCTTTAATGGACTGTTGACTGGGTCAAGACCTGGTTTTGGGTTTAGGTTAAGGGTTAGGGTTAAGCATTTAGTTTGGATGGTTAGGGTAAGGGGCTGGGGAATGCATTATGCCAATGAGTGGCCTCAATAAGATAGCTGTACAAATGTGTGTGTGTGTGTGTTAGGGGGGGTGTCCATACATTTGTATTACAGTAAGCTTTATCTATTATGCCCTGTCGACACTAATGTGGATATTTTGCAAAACAAACTGTTCTTTTGCGTTTGAGCCTCTCGTCCAAACTTATGTTGTGAATCAATAAAACAGCGATTTTCACAAATGCCTACCAAGTGCTAATTTTATTGGTATTTGACTTTAGACTTTATCGCCACCTACTGGCCTAGCATGCTTGTTTTAGCGCTCAAAGTTGTTTTTGTGTCCTAATCTGGACGTAGATGCTTTTGTGGAGATTGAGGGTGAAATGTATGCAGCAGTATGGACAAGGCCCAAGTGTGTTTGACAATATTTGATTGATGATTAATTCTCTTAATTTAAAGCTGTTTTGAAAACATGCACTTATTTGGTTATTATTACCAATGATGCCACGATGCTGCTTATACCATAATATTCAATAATAACTGTAATGTGTGTCTGAGAATTTCTTTGTTCTGTATTTTCTTTAGTGCCAACAAATCCTGTGACAAAAGTTTGCACAAACTCCATTAACACAAACACACACACACACACTGCTCTGCTTTTGGAAATACTCACTACAGGACCAAAAATGGGGGTGAATAAACCCACTTAGATGAGTTTCCAAAAAAATAAATATCTTTTCTAAAAACAACAGCGACCATCTGCTAGCAAAGAGTGCATCTAAATAAAGGAATTACTGGAAACATTTTCTGTATGTGTTTGCTGAGGTGAGTACATCACCCAGATTCTGTTTGTATTTGTCTCTAATTGTTTGTGGCAGCTAAAGCAGAGTTGACATTTTTTAAGGTTACCTGAAGGGAATTTACAGCGATTCAAATTATGGGGAGACTGCGATTCACTTTTCACAGGTCTTATATTGGATGGTGCAGTTATTTGTCATACACATGTAATTTTACATTCTGACAAGCACACACAGCTCGGATCCATCCCCATCCATAAAAAGGGCTTACAGTAGGATCTTGCTGTTCATTTAAATGCAAACAGCTACTGTGAAGGATAATGAGTGCAGCTGCAGCTCACTGTTAATGCACAAGTCCTCAGCAACCGCTAGCTGGAAAAAAAATAATTGCGTGTGTTCATCTTAATACCGAGCTTATTACTTTATTTGCTTTGGTATGGGTTTCTGAAAACCCCGAGTTTTGTCACAAGGTGTCTGAGGGCATATGGACTTAGTGCTATCATTCTCCTCCATTTACCCCTTCCTGTTTGTGGCCCCTGTGATGTTCTAGGTAACAAAGGCTGGGCAGGAGGTAGAGAACTATGGACAATCAATACCATACACAGCCTGTTTTTTTTCAAGTCCTACTTTTCCACATCAAAGAGGAACATCCCCGCAGACTCCCCCGTCCCTTTGGACCCAAATGCTTTTACCCGTCAAATCTCATCCGGTGTCTCCTTCCCGCCATGCGGGCATGCACGGTGTAAAGCTTCTTCTTTTAAAAGGAGGGCCTTTCTGAGGTTACTTTCTCCTGGAATCACACAATAGCGCATTCTGTTTCAACTCCAGATATGATTGTTATTCAGCCGACAATGGACTCTGAGCCGCTGGTGTTGTGGAAGGAAATAACCGCTCTCAGAAACTCGGCTCAGCTTTCCAACCTCCATCAACTCGCTCCCTGATTTATTCTGTCGCAAATGTTTTGACGCTGTGGTTGCTAATCAAGTCCAATCATGACCTTGGATTACTATAATGTTCTTCACAAGGTTTAGGAAAGTTAAAAGGAGAACACAGTGAATGAATGGTAGAGAGATCAGACTCACAATGCAGTTTCAAAGCTTCACTGGGAAGGAGAAGTCACTTTGATCATGCCTAGACACACAAATTCACGAAGGGATAAACTAGTTGTACCTGTTTTACTGCAAACGGTAAATGGTGTGTATTTATATTTCTGGTCATTTTAAGTTTTGCTATTCACCCATTCACACACATTCAGTGCATCTATGTGCAGCAGCTTCTCACTCACAAACTGCCATGTGTCAGGGGCAATTTGGGGTTCAGTATCCAGGGACACAGAATGAGGGGATTGGGATCAAACCACCAATACTCTGGTTTTCTACCTCCTGATCCACAGCTGCCCTGTATTGAGTAGAAAAAAACTCCATTAAAACAGCAATAAGTGGAATTAGAATTCTTCCGTACAGACAGTTCCCCATTTCTAACCGAGTACTGAGGCTTTGAATTTAGCTTCTCTGTGGCCTTTAAGAAGATGTAACTCATTGATGAGTCTTTTGTTTGGTCCATCTTTTCACTTAGTTAAAGTTCTCAGAAAAAAATAAACCAGCATATGTACAGCGTGCTCTCCATGGTGTTGCCTGCACACAGGTTGATGATTGACCTCATCAGTCAAGACGCCACAAAGTAAAATCTCATTTCGTTGAGTCAAATCACTTTTTTATAGCTGTGTCACTGTACTCACGGAATGGACCAACACAAAATAACAGCATCAGTTATGAGTTATAAACTTTTTACAAAGCAAGTTAAATGTGTTGGATGATGGAAATGTAGGGCATTGTTTTTTTTTTGCCGCCTCTGCGCTCTCAGATACAATAGTGAATGTTGTCTGCACGCGAGCTGAGCTGTACTGTAACTGGGTGGAGGCCATGAATAATATATTGCGCATAACACTATAATACGGATGAAAAGAATGATGCATATTAAGGTTGAGTAGTTAATATATATAAACTTTTTGCTTGGCTTCAACCTTTCTGTCCTTTAAACTCCAGCTGCTATGTTCCCTGATTTTCTCAGTCTGTAAACCAAGGTGGTGTAATCATTGAAATAACTATTACAATAATATCAAGATTTCCATTTCTGGCCATTGATGGAGCTCCTTCACAAGCCAGGGATGTGTAATGTGTGTGGTTAACAGGCACCAAATGCAGACTATAGCACAGAAGTGGTTTGGTGTAGGGAAGAATTAGATAAGCAGACAAAGCAGCAAATTCCAGAGGCCAGGTGGGCAAACAGAAAGTCCCAAAATTCTAAACGACACAAGAATTCACTTGGGAGCTTAAACAGAGGCCTCGACTGACACAGATGACTGAGGAGCATGAAAGCAGTTTCCCAATTCAGAGGCTGCATCCTTCAGAGGACTCAGTCTATGAAGGCCATGCTGGCAACATGTATTGTCCACCTCTCATAAGCACCCAACAGTCAGTACGGCCGTTTTTTTTAAAATTTAAACTGCATGCAAACGTTTTTATTATCT